GGCTCGCGGATTTTTCGACTTATTATTAGCTGACGCGGCGGAATGCTCATCCGCCTTGGACCCCACTCGCTGGTAGGATTCTTTGAGAGGCGTTTTTCTTGTTGGCAATGGCGTCGTAGACACGGCGGATATTATTAAATGCAATTTAGTGAGTCGTTCTTGTACATTGTTGGCGCTTACTTTGGATTATGGCTTGTTTTGTGCTGCACAGTGTCGGAATTAGCTGTTTCTGCATCGTTTGACTAAGAGTCGGGGAAATGCGTACTAAACTGTTTCGTTTGCAGATGTGGAATATGGTTTGTGCATAAGATATTTCGTTCAACCTTGGTCACAGTTGATATCTTTGTTACTTTTGCAACTTGGAAGAATAATCAAAACATAGTGATTAAACGTATTCTTGGGTTTTTGGAGACAATATTATAATTAACAAGTTGGTACCTGGTAAAGTAGTACTATTTAACATTTTTATTCTGTCGTCATTCTTTCTGATTGAAATTAAACAATATATTTGCTTTGGATCTTTTAATCGTTACGCTTTTACGCAATCTTTCCCCGTTTTTCTATTGTCTTGCCACGTAACTAGCTTTACACACGCAGAAGCAAAGTATAGATTATGTAAAAACACAATCTCACGTCGTTAAATAATCACGCTACTAGGAACACAATAAAACTGTACAAGAATCGAAACTATAACAATAATTGAAAATATACGCCGATAAGTTTCCCAATTAAAAAATCTCGTTATTTTCACAATATCAAAATAACTGTTAAGAAAGGTTGAATAATCCGAACTTACGCAAAACGCCATTAATCATTCGTCGATCAACACATTTGCTACGGCTATTCGCGTGTCTCCGGGCAAAACTTATCCTGTCGTTCGTAGCTGAAATTTAAATCTTATTTATGGTGTCAGGTGTTACTAAAGATATTATTTGACTTTTTAACTGATATAGTTCATTTACAACGGACGCCTAATCGGAAGGTACGCGCACGGCAGAAATATCCGCGGTATTGCCAACAGCAAGGCGCGTTTCCATGCAGCAAACGCAATACAGCCTCGCGTTCGACTGCATTGTATGTTAAAGTGTTAATGTATAGCATTACGTGCAAATTACAGGTGGCTCGACACGAATCATGAATCTAGAACTGTTAATTTACATGCTGCATGAAGTATCGATCTTGTCGCAGATAGTGGTTAACTGGATTACCTAATGCGATTTTCATTTCTTTTTCCCAGCAATCGATCGTTTAGCATCTTGCGTGAATAACGTAACTTCTTTCGCGATCTTTTTCCGCTTTTCTTTTCATAGCAGCCTTTTTTTCGAATAACAGGGAAATGTTAAGAATATGTTGCAGTTTCTGCTGACATTGTTTATGAATTTTATTCAGTAATTATGGGCTAATATAATAAGGTTAATGTATGGTAACTTTTGAATGAGAATAAAAATCGATAACACAATTTTACTACAATTTTAAAACATAATTCTATACATACAGCGGTTAAAGAAATAATTAGCGCACGCTCTTATTTTCCAACGAGTTTTAGAATCTTTTATTAATCAGATTCTACGTTTCACTTTCACAGTATCAAATTTTCGTAGTCGTGTGCAGGTACCACTAAATGATACGAAATATGATATACTTAAGCCTAATTAATCACCATGTAAACATTACAATAATACAAATTTTATACTACTAATAATATCCCTCGTATCGTACTAGAATATTGTAATTAAGAACGTAAAGCATTGCAACATCGTGAGTAGTAAGAAACGTGAGTTAAGGAAACTTGAGAGAATGTAAACTTTCCGCTAAGATATCGTAAATTAATAAACCTTAAATTAATCCTCTTAACCCTCTTGCATCACGCAGACTGTAAATTCATGAAACACGCGATTGGTTACTCTTATAACTATTTATGCATCGTATAAATACACAACAAATAAAATTTAATCTTGATAACTGTACATAAGTATGCAATCGCAATTGTATTAATTTCGACCGACAGAAATTCGCTTAATTGGGTTTTAACTGAAATTTTGTTTTAATAAATGTTCTTTATACGTAACGCGGATATATCGAGAGAATGATGGTAGCTGGTTTGGCGAATCTATACTTCCTGTGCGGTTACCAAGAGATCTGGCATGAGCCAGCAGAGTGGACCTGTCGCCAACGTTAATAAGGCGCCGATATGACGCCAACGTGCGATTTAAAACACCATTTTCGTGGCACAGGCCGTTATGAGATACCGGTATGCCGGCCGATCCAGACACAGGCAGCTTCTGTTTTCGGCAATGAGGATGTCAGACAAGTTACGACACGGCCAGCAGGTGTTACGACCGGACAGCCAGTTCAGGAGGCCCAGGTATTTCCTCCTTTTTCCTCTCTATCTCTCTTCCTCGTTCGTTTCGTCATTTTTCATTTTCCTTTGATCCGGTTGTAACCAGTCGACCGAACGTGGCTACTGTTTAACTTTTGTCGCGTGTATCGGCGATCACTGATTGCCTTTTCGATTCCAGTTACATTGCTACCATCGCGGGAGGACGCGTGACGACGATCGAATCAAGAAGAAACGTCGCTGTTATCTTTTTAGAAGCACGATTTCAATTTTTAGCAATTTTATTTACTTCGGTCGAAGTTGTTCTACTATTTGGACAGTTGGAATAGTAAATCGGTAATAAACAGTATATATGTATGATATTTCAGATTTAATCAGTGGAAAATGATACTATTTTAAAAGACTTAACAGGATTTGGATATCTGGGTCAATTAGATACATCTTGATACCTTGAATTTAGCACTGCTATAAGTAGTTATGGACGTAAATCAAGAGTGTAGATAGTGTCAACACTGGAATCTTGGATACAGTCATTTTGATTATTCTTGTTTCTTTCTTCTTTATTAATTTTTGTGGCTTTGAGTCTCAGAACTTTGATATTTAATAATCATATTTTTAATGTAATATTATACGTATAATCCTTCATATCTTAATACAAATGAATATTAACATTGTCAAGAACACCTTTCTGTACATTCTTAACGATTACAAAGATAAAATATCTAAATCTACTATTGCAGTTCCAGTAATGCAGATTTATTAATTTCTCATTTCTTATTAATTTCTCAGTGTACTATTCAAGCTGATTCTCCTTTAAACAGAATCCCATTTTCAAGATCATTCTGTCCATTCCCAAACAACTAGCAAAAATTATTTCTTTCTCAGCTCGCCACTGAAACATTGAACGTATCGATTTAATAAAACCTAAACTTGTTATCCAGCCGCCGATTTCCACGTTTCCATAACTCCGTATTCATACAGAAATACGCACCAACCGATCATCTGAAACCAATAAACGCCATACATACACACACAGTACCTTCGATCTTTTATTATGCAGAGAACAAATAAAAAGAATGCTCCTTGCACAATCAGCGACGTCTCTTTTGCAGAAACTCGAACAGTGCCAGGGTGTACGGAGGCTCGCGACTACCAAGTGCATTCTGATACGCGAGGGAAGGTGGAGGAGGCGGCGGAATGGCTAGGATCTCTCTGCGGTCTGCTACATCTATTTATAGCGTACGCCATGCTAATGCATGTGCGCCTATGCACCACGCTAACACCACGTCCCAAGCATAACGGGCTTTTACATGCTGCACTGGATATTCCACGTGGAATCCCCTCCTACGTCGCAGCGCTGCCCCTTTCTCCAAGGATCGCCTGTTTCTCGTGGGCTCCGCCGCCGTTGTCCGCGGAGGTCTCATCCCGGCCATACACGCGTGCGAACGCACGTGCGCCTGTCTCGAAGAGGAACGCACCCAGAGAGCCCGCGTTCTTCGAGATTTATGCACGGGCGCAGGTCCCCCTGTGTAAAAGACGAGCTCGCGCGCGCGTAGGCTTTTCCGGTCACACTGCGGTCAACCTGACTCTTAAAATGCTGTTGAACTCGATTTTTATTGATCCTCTTCACTTCGTCCAGTTCCAAGTATTCTTTTACACGTGGCGAAATAGAGCTGTGCCTGAGAGGCCTCTTGCACGATAATTTACCGAATAATTGTATTTTTGTGAATCGGGTGAGTGACAAGTCGTAGATGACGAAGATTGTTAGGGTTTTACGCGGTTCTTTTTTTTTATTTTATATCGAATAGTATTATAGAAGTAGGATAGACGTAGAATAGGTACGTAATTTCAGTTGATCTATCGCTAAACTTGTTACAGTGACAACTTATTCGCGCCACTTGTAACTTGTGACTTGTACAATTTTGGTGGTAATATCGACCCAAATAAGTTCAGCATGAGGGACCAGGCCCGAGGAGTAGTATCTCCGAAGATCTCTGAAGAATATTACAGCTTTTGGTATATAATGTCGTGGACGATTGTTTGAATCAATGCAACGTATTTACATACCTATTGTACGCTTGGTGAAAATCAAACACCTGCCAGGAATTACATGAGGAAAGGACGAATTAATTGACTAAAGAGCCATGCTGCTTCACAAGATACGCAACTATGATGGAAGATGAATGTAGGATATAAATCCACCATAATAAAGAATCATTAATTTTTATTTTAACAGAATTCAATAAACAACAAAAGATCCTTCGTTTCACAGAACTATGCGAAGAACTATATCCAATAATTTCCTCGCCGTGTTGTATCAAAGCTATAGAGCTTAAAGCAACAAGTTGTTGAAAATAATCAGATTAAAACTGGTATCAAAGGTACACCATAAATCTCATTGATACTTACTACCAACCTTAATCGCAACCAACCAACTTTTTAATTTCTACATCGACTTACTGTTTCGTTCTTCGTCTTTTAAGTTAGGTAGCTCCTCAAAACAAGAGGAACAAGACACACCAAGCGAATTAACTTTCAGTCTTAGTCGGCTGATAAACGGCCTCATATGGGATATCTAAATATCGCGAAGGCTCTAAAAGTCCCGCGCAACCTCGAGCGCGAAATTTACGTTCGATTCGCATCCATCGCGGGCGAATATAAGTGTCGAGGCGCTACGTCTTCTGTACACCTCGGGCGTTATAACTTCGGCAGTTGTTACTTATAAATTATCATCGCAACAGTTATAACTCATAGATCGTACGACGCCTTATAACTTATAGTCGCGGCCGTACAAGTTATAAACGCGGTACATGTAATTTATATGTTACGTGCTGCCGATGTTATAAAACGTCCGACCGACCAACAAACAGTATTATTCGATACAAGATTATAATACGCGTCCGACAATCACCCAACGTCCATTTCTTTCTATTGCAACGATCTCGAAGATGCATTTATATCGGAGCTCGTGTCATTTTGCATTTGCGTCTCCATCCGATCGTGCCGAATAAATCGATGCGCGCATCTTTCTGCGCATAACGAGTCACGTGACATTCACTTCGAAAAGAAATTGCCGCTTGATCTTCTCGAACTTTGATGGGTTCGTGCTTTGATTAAAATGTAAAAAGTAATCGTTGACAAATGACGGATTTCGATAATAGTTCTTTGTATATTTTCGTTAAGTAATATTACTCACATCGCAAAATTTAGGGAATGAACATAAAATATAGTAGGGGACGAAGGAAAGTTTACCTAACCTATGTAAGTGATACAGAAAGTAGCACAATTTTATGAAACAGACTGTACATTTGTTAAGAGCAAATGAACAAATATAATATGCATACTACATTTCAGAATAGACGACTGTTAACAATATGGTGAAAAATATCTAATACAAAAATTACCAATATGCGCATATACGCAAATAAATCACTTGGCAAATTAAACTTTCTTTCGTCTACTACTGCAAATCGTTTATCTATCGTGCAAAAATAAAAATTGCTTCCTGTTACTATGCCAGGAAATTAAAAAGTTTTCAGAGCGATAACGGAGAAACTTCAGAAGCCTGATAGACCCGGAGGAAGTTAATGAACGCTATCCGCCACTATAAAAGCTCCTTCAGTGCCATGATCGTGTGGATGATTTCCGCCATTACGGATATAACAGAAAGAAATGTCGCGACGTTTAATCGACCGATTCGAGCGTTTTTTTACGGAGTATGAAACGAGATTTGCTTTTTCAGACAACGATGACGGTAAATTAACCGATAATGTAGCTTGGTACTGATTACTGGATAGCAATGATGGATGCAGGAGGGGCATCCCTCGAACAGCTCTGTCCTTTACGCTGTACGCCAAGGTCGGTAACCTCAGGACGCCCTCAGGTACTCTTTGGCGCCACACTCTTCGTACTTTTAACGCAGACAAGGTACAGGTCGACTTACCGCGTTGTCCTGCCCTGTTGGTAGTGATGGGTTGTCAAGCACTTCCAATCGCATCGGATACGTGCGTGTGGCGAACAATTCGAAACACTTTGAACAGGATTCGATACGCTAAAACTGCTAAAAGCTTGGAAGTCTTGGAAATCTTAAAAGGCATAAAAGTCTTGGAAATCTTGCAGATCTTAGAAATCTTGTAAGTCTTGGAAATCTTGACAATGTTGAATGTCTTGAAAGTCTTGTAAGTCTTGGAAATTTTGTAGGTCTTAGAAGTCTTGTAAGTTTTGGAAATCTGAAAAGTCTTGAAGGTCTTGTAAGTCTTGGAAAAACCTAAAGATCTCGAAAGTCTTGTAAGTCTTAAGTCTGGCGAGTCTCAGAAGTCTTGAAAGTCTTGTAAGTCTTAGAAATCTTGTAAGTCTTAGAAATCTTGTAGGTCCTAGGAATCTTAAAAGTCTTGTAAGTCTTAGAAATCTCAAAAATCTTGCAAGTCTTGAAGGTCCTGATTATTCCGATAAAAGGTGAAAGCTTGAGGTGTAGTCAATATTTTACAAGCATTCTAAATGCTTTAATCCAAACAATATGTATCATTGACGTTAAATATTAAAGAGAATTAATTGAGAAAATTTAAGATATCAGAGACGCGAACAACTTTCCAAACTTTCAGTGAAGTGAATCGAATTTTGACAGTCTTGAAAAACATCGATTCGTTTCGAAACTGAGTTTCCAATACCCATCACTGCCTTCTATCACTACCATCGCTTTGTTAACAAACAAAACACCGCGTGCTGGCCTCGAAGGAGCGTCGCGATTCTTCTGGGTTAGAATCCTTCGGGGAAGGAGCTGCCTAGGATTTATACGAGGGAGGTTGAAGGAATACACGCCGATGGTAATCGATGTATACGATCTCGAGGAGAACGTCGATTATACCTGGCGATCGAAGTAATTTGATTAATTTTCCAGTTGTTAGGTTAAGTATTATCGCTGCTGATATTTTCGCGTGATTAATGTTGGTATTGTTGAAGTTGACTCGTGATGAGGTTAGATTCGCGATAATTCGAACGATGCGCGATTTTTGTCTATCGAGAATGATTTAGGTGGGAAAAAGGTGCAATGCACCTTTAGGAACAGAAGATGAATAATAGCCAGGATAGTTAAATTAAAGTTTGGGAAGATATTTATGAAGATATTTTTATAGCGTGCGGAATACTATGAGGAAGAGATGGAGATCTTATAATTGGGTTTTCATATTTATGCTTTATGTAAGTATCTATTAAATTACTGTCACGGTTTTCTTACAGTACATGATGAAAGTATCTTTCTAAAGTATTAAAAATATACTGGCGGCCGTAAATCGGACGTATAGCGTATGTTCTCTAAACAACGTTTATATTTTTATCGAATATAAACGATTATATTCCGTATATTCGAATTACCATATATTCGAGAATTATGCATGGATTAGCGTTCACCAGTTTTCTTCGCGTTTTAAACACACAGCATCCTATTTACGGTTTACTACAAATAGAAATAAAAACAATTTTAATACCGAAGAATCTCGTAAACGTCTTTATGGGTATAACTTCATCCGTCAGAATTATTTCATAGGTTCTCCGACATACAACGAATAAGAATTAAAAATATCAACTGTTCGTAATTTTTTAAGCTCAGTCAGAAGCAAGTATAGTAAAAGTAGATAGAGAGTATGAGAGTATGATAAATAAAATAAATTTGTAACGCAAGAAGAAAATATTATTTCGAATGAAATATTTCATATAAAAATGAAGAAACGCTTTTGAAGAAATATTTCAGTCTTGCGTGTTTAAAATATGCAGATATGGGCATATGAGGAAAATGAATCGGTGTCAATCAACAGCCGGAAGGTGTGTGTCTTCGGTCCTTGATCTCGTTCCCTTTAAGAGCCGCGAGTAAAACTCATTTTCTGCTGTTCTTATTTATCATTAATATCACTGAACGCACATCGCTGTTCCACTGAAACCCATCTTGGAATGCGAGCCGCTCCGATTTCAACCGCAGTTCGACCGGGCAAAAATTCTTAACATTGCTGAAACCGGCCGATGAGGTTATCGCATCATTCGCTCGATACCGGCCGGTAATTACGAGACGCAATTACATAAACCGTCTTTTTATCTTCGTTAATTAGTTACACACGCGTACGACGCTGCATTATGTATATCGCCGATTAATGCTTCGTTACTGCTCGCTAATCGTGCTAATCGTTTCGATTATGATCTGTCGGTAATTATTCGGAATTGCATTGCCTACCTTCTATACGACATAAAACGTATCTACGTTCTCTGTATATACGTAGGTAAGATGTTAGGTTTCATGGGTTTCACGGATAGGTAAGAATGTATTATGGGATTAAGTTAGTACGTAGACGAGATGAAATGGTCCTGAAAGAAGATTGAATTCGTGTCGCCATCTGTAGATGGATCAATAACTTGGGTGGAAACGTTCCTTGGGTAAGAATTGTATATGAAAATCTATAGTAGGATAGTTCTATTAAAATATGTATATAATAAACTATTGTGAAATATAAGAATTCACTACGTTTCCAATATAAGCTTAATTTTATAATTTTTTAAAAAGTACAGTAATTTTTATATATTTTATATTTTATGTGTAATTTATAATATGTTACAAGTACGCCAAGCTTTTGCCAGCTGACAACGTAAAGCTTTTATTTCGTGAATAAATTTAATCATTTCTATTCCACAAAATTAAAAGAAAAGTTAAATCGCAGTAAATATACAGTGTATAATTCATTACAGAATATGAAATTTACCAGGATATGACAAACAACTTTGAAGTCTCAAAACATATGCACGTACATATCTTACAATCCTAGAAAAACATAAATTTACAATATTTTGATTCCGCCGCGTGACCAATGCAAGTGAAGCACTTTTATACGAGAATTAAGATTAAAAATTTGTAATTGCTCGATGTATAGTACAGTGTTTTGTCTCCCGTTTTCGAATCGCCACTAAGCGCCTGTTTTCTACCAGCTATGTGCAGCTTGGTACGAATGCACGTCTTCTGCGTTCGCTGCGCGATTGCATATTCTTCCCAACAGAAGCGTTGGTGAAAGAAATGTGCATATAGTTCTGGCGTTTGACCGCTAGAGGCGGTAATTTGTGGTGCGTGTTTTGACTGAATTTCTCCCATCATCAGCGATCTCCCTACTCATCTCTGATAAAATGAAGTCAGTGAGTCGTGTCGTGTGTCAAGTTGCGGGAGGTTGCGCGCATGTTTATTTAAAGCTTACTGACGTGTGTGTAGAATTGCGCGCGCAATGAATCAGGCACCAGTGTCGTGTATTCCAGCGGGGAAGATGTCAAAAGCGAAGAAGGTGCTCGATGAGGCCCGCGAGATCCAGAATCCGGAGTTGGATCTCGCGGATAAGAGTATCTCGACGTTCGAGGAGATGCCAGGATTGCGTGAGTCTACCATATCTTCGTGGGTCTCGTTCCGTTCGCCAAATTAGGCAACTTGTCCTGACTAGTTTTTGGAGCGGATGGAAATCCGAGGTGGCCATTTGTTGCTTGTCCACGCTGTGGGCGTGTCCACGCATGCGCGGACAAGGACTTTGAAAGATAATACTTTAAAAATCTGGAACATTGTTAACAAAAATAATTTTTCTTTGTGAATTCTTTCACATTTAAATTAAGATAAATGTTTGCAGTATCATTACTGACATTATTATTGAGTATATTCATATTATTTTATTAACTATATTTTATTTATTGTTTTGAATCACATTTTTAAGTTCCAAGTGTTTGAAATGATGATTGTTTTGTTAACAGGAGTGATGTTTCTTTTTAATTCCTAAATTAATATGAATATCCACTCAGTTATTGATATTGTTGATCATATTCATCAGTTTGATAATAATTTTAATTAAATTAATAATAATTTAATGATATTAGTTCATTTGGCAATTTGGAACACATATATGTAAGCTTTAAATGTTTATGATGGTAGACCAAGATATTTTTTCTGTTTCAGTTAATATGATTAACATTACAAGGTTGACTTTGAGTCACAATAAAATTCAAGGTAGATTTACAAATATTTTTACACTTATTTGTGACAAATTGTATCTTTTACTTATATTGTTTCCTTTATACAGCTGTACCACCAGGTCTTGCAAATCTAGTCAATTTGGAGATATTGAATCTATTTAATAATCATATTACCGAGCTTCCAATTTCATTGTCACAAATGCCAAAACTACGGATTCTTAATGTAGGGTAAGTTCTTTATTTGAATTATCGTTAATTTACAACATTTTATTTAAATACGTTTACAGGATGAACAGATTAGATGTGCTCCCACGTGGATTTGGTGCTTTTCCAGTATTAGAAGTCTTAGATTTAACTTATAATAATCTAAGCGAGAAGAATTTACCAGGAAACTTTTTTATGATGGGTTAGTAACATTTTAATGTTTCAAGATTATATTTAATTATACGTTCAAAGAATACTTCTTTTTACAGAAACCTTAAGAGCACTGTATTTAGCTGATAATGATTTTGAATATCTACCTCCTGAAATTGGGCAATTAAAAAATTTACAAATTGTAAGTAATAGCATGTTCTTGTATTAAAATCTGATTCTGTTCCTCTTATTTATTCTTAGCATTTAATTGTGTGTTCCTATTGCAGCTTGTATTGAGGGAAAATGATTTAGTCGAATTACCAAAAGAAATCGGCGAATTAACGCGACTCAGAGAATTACACATTCAAGGGAATCGATTAACAGTTTTACCTCCTGAACTAGGTATGTATACTCATGTAAAATAAGATTAACTTCTTTAAAAAAAAAGGATGGATCCAATAAAAAAAATAATCTAAATTTAATAATTTAGGAAATCTGGATTTAGTAAGTAATAAAGCAGTGTTTAGAATGGAGTTTAATCCATGGGTTATACCAATAGGCGATCAACTGCAAGTTGGCATTTCTCATGTTATGGATTACATACGTTCTGAAACATATAGATAGTATGTATTATCTACTTATTTTAAACATAAGCGTTTATTGGGGTATCTTATAATCGTTTCTTTCCAGTGTGTATAGTCGACACCAAAGCGCCAAAGGACCGCCACCGCCGATAGAAAACGACAAGAGTAAGAAAATATCCCGTGTCCGTTAAAACGGAACAGAAAATGATTAACTAACACCATCAAAAATATTTCTAAACTAATATAACTTCTTTTAATTCGCTCACTGCCAAGAATCTCATAGCTTAACATATTTGCAATCTAAGAGGTGCCTTAATGATTGACACAGAAATAGATGTCACACATTTCAATTTTACACACACATGTACAACATTAATTATATATTATATATATAATCTACTGTTATACTATTCAAATTTGATGATTAATATATAATAAATGCTATTTTTATAATAATTAAATAATAAATATAATTTGGATGAATAAACAATACTTTATATAGAATGAAACTTAGGAGTGTTTCCTTATAGCAGTTTTGATTTTTATTTATGACACTGCCTGTCTGTTTCTCCAGATTAAATGTAACTGCATGCCATTCATTTCTGTCATATATAACTAACATGCAAGCAACAATTAACTTATCGAATTTGCTTCACGCACAATGTTTGTACAAACATATGCATGTATTTCCCACATCTCACATTTCATACTCCTTACTTTATTTCTCAATACTAACATCCGACATCTAATATTCCCTATCTCATACTACTATTCCACCTCTTACATCCAGCATCCTTCATCACGACCTACTTCCCACTTTCCAAATTTATGTCTAATAATTCTATTCATTCAGATTAGACGATTTCCTGTGGATTTTGTGAGTAACGAATTTCATTTTGTGGGATAACGAATTAATTTTGTTTGTGGGAAAAACCGATTTCTTATGGATCTTGTTAGAAATTGGTGAGAAATGAATTTCATGTTATGTTTTAAAGTGTAAGATATGGGAAATGAATTTAGGAAAATTGATAGTTTGATTTTGGATGTAGGGAAAAGGGCGTAGGATATGGAATGTAGGGAATACACGGAATGTGAGATATGCGCTGTAGAAATTAGAATGAAAGATATTCCATATAGAAGTGGAAATACGAAATAAATATATAAATATATATATATATATATATTCATTAGTTTTAATATTTAATAAATATATGATTTCCTATATGAGTGTTACGTGAATAATTCGAAAAGAACAGATCAAATTCAACAAAATGTTACAAGCAAAAAGTAATCGACGAGGATGGGATTCGAACCCACGCGTGCAGAGCACATTGGATTAGCAGTCCAACGCCTTAACCTCTCGGCCACCTCGTCCGCTTGATGTAGGTGAAAAAATGTTCTTGCAACAGGGGTGATCAGCTTTCAGGGGTAACTAATCTCTTGAAAAAGTGGACTTTATTCATCAATAGTAACTGCTACCATATATATTTTAACAATCTTTGATAGCCTTCAGGACATTAAGAACATTTTAGTAATTTCAAGATACGTTACACATTAATTTTTTAATTTGTTATTACTTAAGGCAAAAATTCTAAAATATTAGGATATGCTTATAATATTAATATTTGTATAAAAATATATGTACCATATAGTATTAATCTATGTGTAAGCTACGTAGAAAGTCAAAGATACTGTAAGTACTGATAAGACAGAATAAGGGGTAGTTCAATAAAAAGCTCGTTCTTGTAGTGATTAAGCAAAAACAGAAAATCTAGAAATATTGTTCAATTACAAATTATTGTAATCATATAATTCTCCCCAAAGTTATTTGATAAATGAATATTTTTACATGGAAAAAATTAAACAATTGTTTTATTATTTACCCGTAATTAAATTCCTAATCCTATTCCTATGAATTTCATTCTAGAAATAAGTAGTTTGGCAAATTGTTAGGTGCACTTCTGAAAAGAATTTCTTAAAGGCTGATATTACCACAAGTACGAGGAAACTTGCTGACTTTTCATTTTCAACCAAACAAACAATCCAATGTTTGCAAACAATCATTGAAAATGTAAATAAACAAATAACAAAATTGTAAATGAACAAAATGAGCAAGCCAGTGTTTGCAAACAAATCCAAGATGAAAAATTGGCGAGCCAGCAAAATTCTGGTCGCTCGAAGTTTTCGAAAATTTCGTAAATAAATAAACCAATGTTTATAAACGAAGCTTAAAAGCGTAAATAAACAAATTCATATTTGTAAGCGAAGCAGGAAATAATCAAATAATTTCTTGAAAACTCAAAATCAATGTAAGAAGCGATTCTGTAGTTTGCAATTGAAACACCGTATGTTTCATTACAAATTGTTATTTCTTAGCAACGGAAACAAAATCCTTTCACAAAATGTGTCGTTCATTCAGTTGAATTCGGACGTTCATCCTGTGAAGATTCGTCTCGCCTATCTTTTCTTCCACCGATTACCGATTATTCGCCATAATGGTAATTATTTCTTTAATTTTGTCATCTACGTATAAGAAAATATTCCAATAATTACCTGTAAGAATATATAACATTTTAAGGTCCCCAAACTTATACAAAAAGATTTACATTTACTAGAAAGCAAACTCTAAATTATTTAATCTGCTCATTATTAATTTATGTTAATAATTTATATCATATATAATAAGAGCGCGTGCGTTATTAAATATTAATAATTAATTTATATATATTAATAATATAATTATAAAATTGATACGAAAGAAAAATAATTTTTAAAGAATAAATTTATCTAATCTTTCAGCGTGAAGTACTGTCGGTCCACATTGGCCAAGGCGGCGTCCAAATGGGCAATGCTTGCTGGGAATTATATTGTCTGGAACATGGCATACAACCTGACGGCATGCTTCCGCCTCAGAGCTGTTCTAGCGATGAGGGTTTTCAAACTTTCTTCAGCGAGACCGGCGGTGGAAAATACGTCCCGCGAGCTGTATTTCTGGACCTTGAGCCTACAGTCATTGGTAGTTTTAATTTAAATAACATAAACTTTATTTAAAAATTACTCTGTGCAAATTATCTTATAGTTTTTTATCGTGTCATATTTTATTCTAACCTAATCACAAAGAATGAATAAATATTACGTATTCAGGATACTACAATATATATATATATATATATATATATATATATATATATATATATATATATATATATATATATATATATATATATATATATATATATATATATATATATATATATATATATATATATATATATATATATATATATATATATATATATATATATATATATATATATATATATATATATATATATATATATATATATATATATATATATATATATATATATATATATATATATATATATATATATATATATATATATATATATATATATATATATATATATATATATATATATATATATATATATATATATATATATATATATATATATATATATATATATATATATATATATATATATATATATATATATATATATATATATATATATATATATATATATATATATATATATATATATATATATATATATATATATATATATATATATATATATATATATATATATATATATATATACATATGTATTTTGCATAATATATGTATTATAAAATATTATATATTATTTGAAGAAAATATGAAAGTAAAAGTAACTAATTTCCACTATATACAATCATTCTTTGCTGTATACAAAGTTTGAACGTAGAGACACACTACTCTCAATCATATTATTTACTATAAGCTTCTCTGCAAACACAATACAATAGACATACTTTATACGATATATAAACAGACCGTGGATTTTTATGAATTTATGGGAAACTTGAAGATACAAAAACGCAGAGAATGCGCATGGAAGAACCATATAAAGTATTCAATTTTCTAAATTATATTTACAATCTTACGAACATACATAAATATTCGCAGTCTGATTATAAAATATGATACATGTCATAAGAATTTAAGAAAGTGACAAAAATCTCGATTTCCAACATCTCCAAACGTTTTACATTTTAGACGAAGTTCGGACAGGAACCTACCATCAGCTATTTCACCCCGAACAGCTAATTTCCGGTAAAGAGGATGCAGCGAACAATTACGCTCGAGGACACTATACTCTGGGAAAGGAAATAATCGACCTGGTTCTGGACAGAATTCGCAAAATCGCCGATATGTGCACCGGTCTCCAAGGATTCCTAATTTTCCACGCATTCGGTGGTGGTACCGGTTCAGGATTCACCAGCCTTCTAATGGAGCGCCTCTCCATGGACTATGGCAAGAAAGCTAAACTCGAGTTCGCCATTTACCCCTCTCCACAAATTTCCACCGCGGTGGTAGAACCTTACAACGCCATCTTAACTACGCACACGACACTAGAACACTCGGACTGCGCGTTCCTTGTCGATAACGAGGCGATCTACGATATCTGCAGGCGAAACTTAGATATAGAAAGACCAACCTATACGAATTTGAATAGATTAATTGGACAAATAGTGTCTTCTATCACGGCTTCTTTGAGGTTCGATGGAGCTCTGAACGTGGATCTAATGGAGTTCCAAACGAATTTGGTCCCGTATCCCAGGATTCACTTTCCTTTGGCTACATACGCGCCAATTGTTTCGATTGAAAAAGCTTATCATGAGCAATTGACGGTGATGGAGTTAACGTCGTCTTGTTTCGAGCCTGCAATGCAAATGGTCAAATGCAATCCACAGAGAGGAAAATATATGGCGTGCTGCTTATTATATAGAGGTGATGTGGTCCCGAAAGATGTGAACGCGTCTATTGCGACTATTAAGACGAAGAGGGCGATACAGTTCGTCGATTGGTGCCCCACTGGTTTTAAGGTAGACGGATTTTATTTTAGTAGTGAAAGAACTTGTGTTTTATGAGATCTATAATCGTTTTTATTTGAAATATTCTGAACTGATACCATAGATAGAAAAATAGAAATATATTTCGTGGAAAAGTAGGTAATTAAAGACGTAAATTTGATTTTTTAGGTAGGAATTAATTACCAACCACCAACAGTAGTCCCTGGAGGAGATCTCGCCAAAGTACAACGAGCGATGGCATTGCTTGCAAACACTACTGCAATCGCTGAGGCATGGACCAGACTAAATAGAAAATTTGATCTCATGTTCGGCAAACGTGCATTTGTTCATTGGTAAATTATATATGACCGTGATACAAAGATGAATTAGGAAAAATTAAATTAAAATTAAATTTCAAATTTCCAAATCTAGGTACGTGGCAGAGAGTATGGACGAAAGTGAATTTAACGAAGCCAGAGAGGATCTGGCCGCTTTAGAAAAAGATTACGAAGAAGTTGGCATGGACTCGACGGACGCTGGCGAAGGTGAAGATGAAAACTAAATAGACGACATGTTCCTGTCAGAAAACCATCTTTTTACACAGGAATATTTTAGGAGAACGACCAATTCCCACAACTATTTTGTATAAACTGTACACTGTTTTCGTTGATTTTGTTTGTACTTGTCATTGTTTTAATAGATAGCATTATTTTTAATGTACATATACACATTTGTAAACTTTTATATTGTAAATAAAGGTTTATTTTTTTCTAAATTCTTCTATCTTCGTTTAATACTAAACTTTACAAGATATAATAGAATAATATTTGATAAAATCTCTTTCAACATTTTTTTTATCTATTCCACATAAATCAACTTCTTTGGACTATTACAATATCAATATTATCTATTATCTTGCTATTATTGACTATTTGGACTATTATCAATAAAATTGTTCAACTAATTGGTCTAACTTGGACTAAACTGTCTGCTCTTGAAATAATTCAGGTATTCTTATAAAGAAGAGGATGATACAACTGGAGGAAGACACAAAGATTCATAGATATTACAGGCTTTTTATTGTGTAGGACAGCACGCGGCTACACGAATTATATTACATATGTATAAATTCGTAATCGACAGCTTTACAGTTACAGAGAACTTTTATCGCACATAGAATCATCTTTCAATCTCGAGGGGAGGGACAAGGGTGACATCTTTTCTTCTATTTTTTTCCATTTTCTTTCTTTCCAAACCACGACGTAACGGACAGTACACTCGGTGTAATAACATGATATGAAAACGCGCTTCGAAACGTTTCCATTGCAGGCAACGCACGCTTCGAAATTGCCTTTCTTCTTTCTTTACTTTTTTTTTTTTTTTCTTTCTTTTGTGCGCATTCTCGCCGAGTGGTACAAGACAAACTCAATAATAATATAATCAATAATAATAAACCTAATAGTAATATCGATAATAGAAATAATAATAAAAAAATAATGATAAAATATAAAAGAAGATCTAGACGAGTGTCCTCGCGTGACAATCGAGAAAAGGAAATCCCAGCTTGCTGGTCGAGTACGTCTATTATATAAAAAGAAAAAAAAAGAAAAAGATGCGTTTGCGATGAAAAAACGGCGAAGGATGATGAATGTAGGGGAACGTGAGAAGAACCACAACGACGATGATGAAAAATAAAAAACATCGATCGATCGGTACACCGACATACAATGATAATATATCACGACGACAATGACCCGGTGGCATCAACGAGAGCGTCTGTTCATTCGATTCTTAGGATAATAATAATCAATATATAATATTTATCTAGAATATCCTTCATCGACAAAGAAAAAGATACCATCGATCGTTTTTGTTCGTAGGTTCACACGTTCAATGGCGGAACTTTATTCTTTCTTATTTTCTTCTTCTAGATTTTCTGGTAAAACACGAAACAGGAAGAGCAAATATTGAACGACGTTTCGCCTGTGACACCTTTCATCGAAGTCAAACGCGATCACGACTATTATGATTCTATCGTAAATAGAGTATCCTAATAAAAAGATTCTCGTTGCGCGTGTCACGTGACTTGGTATGCTTCTGCTCGACACGCGCCATATATTAGCAAATTCTTTCTTTTAAAACTTTGTATTTTATAAAATTTCTGTTCATTCTCTCTCATTCACATACAAATACACCTACGCGATCCTTTCATACTTTTTTATCTCTCTCTCTCTCTCTCTCTGTCTCTCTCTCTCCTTTTTCTTTTTCTTTCTTTTTCTCTCTCCCTCTCATACTCTGACCGCTTTTCTTTTCTTCTTCTTTTAGAGACCATCTTTTTTCTTTTTCTCCTTAATTCAAATACAATTATCATCATCATTATCATCATCGTTTATCTCATCATTTCTTTTTTGGATTGGCAGGCAAGTTAAAGCTGCCGCTCGCTGGACTAGAGATTTCACTACTCTTTATTGCGCATCCGTTGTCCGACGACAGTATCCTTCTTTCGCTCCTTGTGTCTCTTTCTTTCTCATTGTCGCTTTGCTCTCGCATCTCCGGGAACGGCTAGGAACCGCAATCCCAATTTACGTGATGTGACCTCTCTCATCTCTTCCTGACTCTTTACGATATCTCTGTCTCAAGCTTTCTTTTCATCTTTCATTCTCTCTCTCTCTCTCGCTCGCTCTCTCTCCCTCTCTCTCTCTCTCTCTCTCTCTCTCTCTCCAGCGAATGTTTCTTTTTATTATTCTTTATCTCATTTTAAATATATATGCTCAAGAGCATTTCTTCGCCAGGCGAACAATTTGCCCTCATCGACAAATACGTTTGTCAGGGGAAGAGCAGCTCGACGCTAATCATTACTTTTCGCCGGATTTTTCGATATCACGCTGTGAATAATCGTTGAACGAGCAACCACAATTCCCTTTTAACTGAACACATTGAAGACTAATTCTTGCGATTTGTGATACGTTTGTTTGAAACTTGAGCAATAAAAATTGGAAATTAAAATTAGATAGCTTAAAAAATAATGAACTTGGTTCTTTTAATTTTGTAGAGACTAGACTGGTAAAGTGGCAGTTGTGTTTCTGTATATTTCATATAAGAAGTATTTAAGTACCTACATCTCTAAAACATATTACACGAATGTCCAGTGTCTTGAACGCAACTCAATATACATAATTGTTTCTTACATTGAAATACATAACCAGTGTTTGATTATTGTCAATACAACTTAGGCATAAAGTATAATACCTGATGTAGTCTTGCCCAATTCCAAACATTAAATAATATCAAATTTTTCCAATAAATAAATTCCCTCGAAAATTAAAGCAATCTCTTATTTCCTACAATTCTTAATTCTCCTAAAAACAGCAAAGAGTTAACATCTAATTTCCATTCAAACGCATCACAAACACGGTTTAAGCTCGAGTACTATCAAGAACCAAATTTCAGGAACCACAAGATCAAAGACAGGTATACCGATATGATAAATAGCGTAATAATTGTGTTGCTCGTCACTTTACCCTCACAAACGTTTGAAACGCCATGATAATTGTGAGCTGGGCTCAACGGAGCGAAGGCGTAGAGCAAGGATTATTACCGGAAACGAATCGAACGGATCGGGAGACGAACTTCTGGCCAGGGCGATCTCTGTCGATCGATAGGAGGAAGCTCAGACGAGCAACGCGAGTCACGCGACGCGAGATGCCGACTGTCGGTAAAATGTCTATAAGGCACGGCCTCGAGGACGCTCGTCTCTCGTCGTCGTTAGGATTTCGTTCTTTTTTTACTTGATTTTTTGCGTCCGTGGGCCGAGTGGAAGAGAGAAACGTCGCCGTTTTCGGCTTCGTTTCGCTGCTGTACGAAAATAAAGCGCTCACATGGAGAGGATGATCCTCGTGTACTCGACAGACCGTGCAACAAAATCGTTGTTATCGTTCCACGGCCAGTCGATTCGATATTTCGTCCGCGTCAAAGAAACGCGAACTCGTAGGGGCAGTAATTACTCGTCCAGGCAAATTACAATCGCAAAATGCATACTCCAATCGTTGGACGATGATTAGAATGATCGAACGAGACGCTACGAAATTCTATAAATCGCTTTTAGTCCATAACAAATGAGAGACTCGATGGCCGAGAAAGGTTAGGTCCAGATAATCGAAACTTAATTGTTTGGCTTAGTTAAGTGTATACGAATGTTTTGAGGATTCGAAGTTCTTGGAATTCGATCGTCTGCTTGGCTATCGAGCACCTCAAATAATTCCATTTTAGTCGTCAACACTGATAAAAGCCTCTAAACATTGCCCCTTAGAACGCTATGCAATCTAGTGTATAGTAACTTCGCTTGTACTTTTGTCGTCAATAAAGTTAGGAATATAACGCGGAGATCTGCGGTTAAAGATATGTTTAGCGTCTCGCTGGATCGCTCCTTATGATGAACAATTTTTATACAAATGATTCTTGGCCTTTGTTGCCCTGATTTTTGGCGTTTAGAGGTTTTTAAACTTGTACTGTATGGTTTTGAAAAACTAACATTGTAACTTCATCGTTTAGATGAACTCTAGTCCTTTTTCTTTAATCTTGTGTAATGCAACTGACTCAATGTATAAATTGTTTCTCGCTATAATACTAGGCAAGGTCTCTATGATGTCAGATAACAAAGCTAATATCAAATATAGCACGAAGGATTATTTTTCATAAAGATTCTACAATATTAAAAGAGCAGCGAAATTATAATCCGAAAGAACATTATTTACACTCGAAAACCTCAACCCTCGCAAGTAGACCAATTAAACGTAGATTCTGGATAAAAAACATGTCGCTAAGATCTGCACATTGCAACTGCCAGAGACGAGTATACATTGTTTCTTCGTGTAGCATTTGGGGGCGCGCGAATTCGGTAGAAAACGGTAATGCTAAGTTCTAAAACGTATCAAAAACCATCGTCCTTCTAAGGCTGGCTGCGTGGAGGACTGCGTGCGAGTTCGTATTGAAACGTACGCAGAGCGGGGGAGGAATCATACGTGTCGCGTTGTTTCTTTGGTAATACGTACGACGTTTATACGTAGTAGTCAGTTATACACACACCACAGTTATTTATGGTCGCTTGAACCGCTAACAACTTCAAAGTTATACATTACATATCCAGGCGTTATTGTCGAAAGTAACAAACAAGGAAAGAGACGCGTACTCGCGCGTCCTGCAAGCTCGAGGACACGATTGTGACGCGGTCGTTCCAACTTTGCGAGAGCAAATTAAAAAACGAAAGAGTAAAACGAATAACATAAAAACCCAGATAAGGTTGTGAAAGCGACGTAAATTCTAACTTACACGCGCCCTACGGCGCCTGCCTTAATAATCACACGAGCTTATTTTACTTCATTGTTAAATAAAATAAAATTGAATCGGTCTCGACTGATCCAGATGGCGCTCTTTTTGGAGACGATGGTCTGATCTGTTCACAGCGATAAAAAATAATGATACCCATCGTTAGGGTGACTTTTCTCCATATAAGAATAACGTGACGACCACTATTGTCGTTGTAGAATCGTGATAATAATATTACTAGTCGTACAAATAAAAATAATAACTAAAGGTTGAGAATAGTAGCAGCAGTAAGTGGTAATGATAGTAACGGTAGCGATAATATATATACTATATATAATGTCGATTGTGAAAATATCTAAGATCAATGTTACTCTCTTTCTTTCTTAGTTTCTTCATTCACTCGTTCCTTCGTCTTTCATACGTTCACTCATTCCTTTTGTTCTCT